ACAGCAGCACGTTCTCGGGCTTGATGTCGCGGTGTACCAGCTGCCGCCCGTGCATGAAGTCCAGTGCCAGGCCCAGCTGCTGCACGCAGCGCTTCACCGTGTCCTCGGGGAGCCCCACCTGCCGGCCCGGAGTGGGGTGGGGTTGGAGGGGGGAGCCGCGCTCCGGGACGGCTGCCCCACCTCCCCGCGGCGGTCCCCGACCCCCCTCCCGTCCCTGGCTGTCTCCTCCAGCCTATCAGTCCCCACTGCTGCCATTCCCCATCCCACAGGGGCCGGGGGCGGGGCGTACGCCTGTTCCCTCCCCGATCCCCTCTTTTTCACCCTGCACCCTTTTCCCTGGTCCCTGCCCCAGAGGAGGGTCCCGAGCGCCCTCTCCTGCAGTCTCACCAACTCCTGCCCGATGCCATTGCGCCGCCGCTTCCCTTATAGGGACCCAAGGCTCTGACAGGCCTTGCCACTGGCCCCCTTGGGCGTGGGCACAGACTCACCCCCTCCCTCCACCAAACACAGAGTCCTCCTGGCACTCTCCCCCCACTCCAGGGCGCCTCCTCTGGGAAGCCACTGGTGGCCCCGCTGTCTCGTCTCCCCTCTTGTGTCCCTGTTGTCCCCAGATAGGTGCTGGACTTCATCCCGTCCCCCTGCCATTGCCCTGGGAGTGCCTGGCTCCGTCAGCCCCCCGGGGCAGGCCACCACACCAAGTACCTGAGGAGGGATGATGTCGAACAGGTCCCCCGCGGGCGCATACTCTTGGGCGAAGACATAGCAGTCTTCTGTCTCAAAAACCACGTCAAAGACCTTGATGATGAAGGGGCTGGAGGAGAGGCTGTTGGTGATGCTCACCTCCCGCAGGAAGTTCTTCAGCTTCGTCTTGCTCTTGTTCACAAACTTCAGTGCCATTTTCGTGCCTGACGGGGAGGCAGCCACAGCAGTGAAGGTCCCTGAGTTCCTGCGCCCAGTGCCCCCAGGCCTGCCTGTGCCCCCCTATCCCCACCCGGAGGCCGTGTGTGTCTGTCCTCATCCTACTGGTAGGAAACTGAGGCCCCGCGAAGGGAAAGGACTTTCCGGAGGAGAAAGGACTTCCCAGAGGGGAAAGGACTTGCCGGAGGCCATGCAGTGACTCAGGGGTCAGCCTGGGTCTCCCGCCCCAGCCTGTAGCTCTGTGAGGACCGTCTGCTCCTTCCTCCACGCTCTCCTTTTCCGTCTGACATTCAACACACTTCTTTCATCTGGTGGATCTTCCCCTGCCCCCCACCCCAGGACATACCCCCCTGAATCTCGGTCTTATTCGTTGCCCTCTCCCCAGTGCCTACGACCCTATGGTGCATCATAGCTGCTCAATGAGTGTTTGTTAAATGGATGATAAAAAGGAATTTGACAGGGAGAGGTGAGTGCCTGCAAGGCCTATGTCCCCGCCTTTGTCCTTGGGCGGCCATCTGTACCCCGTGGGGGTGCAAAACTGTGTGTGGCACACGTGTCCACAGAGCATTCACGAATTGCAGGCCCTCCCCTCTGCACTCGCCATTCACAAGCCGCTCCTCCTAATGACCCTAGGAGGTGGGTGAGCCTGAATGCTACCCTATTTTACAGAGGAGGAACCTAGGCACAGAGAGGTTAAACCACTTTCCAAGGTCACACAGAGAGCAAGGGCAAAGCTCAGGGAACCCCATGTCCAGAGTTCCCCCAGCTGCTGTCAGCTGGCACAGAGCCCCCCACCCCCGGTGTGTACAGCTGTGGGAACTCAGTAAGTCCCTGTCCCTGACTGGTTAGGAGGGTGCCGCTGTGAGCGTATGGTGTGGGGAAGGCATTGTGCTCCTGAGTGAGAAGTTTCTAGAGATGGGTCTCGTCCTGGCTCGAAGCGTCTCTAGCTGTAGGACCTCAGCTGAGTGACTGGATCTCCAGGTCTCAATGTCTTCATCCGAAAAATGGACATGGCCATATGACCTCCCAGAGGCATCTCCCACCCCTCCTTAAGCACGGTGCACTGTTTCCAAGGACCCACTCTCAGCTCTGTCTGCTTCCCTGGGGTCAGCCCTGACTTCTCTCCTGAGCTCCATATGTCCCCGGGTCAGCCCCTCAGCTGTCCCCAAGCACCCTACCCTCCAGCCTGGGCCCTGTACCCCCTCTCAGGTCTCCCTGGGATGCTCAGGCTACATCTCTCCACCTGGACCAGTCTCCCTGCTGACTTCCTGGCTCCTGAAGAGAGCACCGAGAGCCCCAGACAAGTCCCCAGCCCAGCCTTCAAAGCTGGCCACCCGGCAGATACTCACCTGTGCCCTTGTAGGCCACGAGATCGACCTTCCCGTAGGTGCCCTTGCCTAGCTCCCGGACAAGTTCGTAGTGCTTGGTCACATCACTGGCGGCCAGCGTGCGGAGGGTCAGTGCCTGCATGTCTTCAGTGAGGAGGGGCACGCCTGCACCCAACCCAGGGGCAGTCCCTGGCCCACAGCAGGGCAGGGAGCGGGGTGGTTCGGGCTCTGGGCAGCCCACGCTCATCTTCTCCCTGTTCCGGGGGGAGTGGCATGAAATGTGATGTCAAGCCACGGCCCTCTGGTCCACTGGCCTTCTTCCCCAGTACCTAGGGTCCCGGGATGCCAGGCTCAAAACGACCACAAGGGGGCGATAGGCACCTCTGCTGCATTCCCTTTTCCCCAAAGCTTCAGGCCAGACCTGAGCCCGCACTCTGGGGAGACACCCACAGTCCCCACTTGGGTACCACTGGCCTGTCTCGGGCTGTCATTCAAACATGGCATCAGACAAGGCACAGGTGTTTATGTCCCACAAAGACCCTCCATATACCAAGTTCACACGGGTGCTCTTATTCATAGATTTTGATCTGCACCTGCTGTTCCCCAGGGGCTTGCTGTTCAGAGCCGTGGGGACACCACACAGCACAAACAGGTAAGAATCCCGCCCTCAGGGCGCCCCGGTGGCTCAGTCGGCTAAGCATCTGCCTTTGGCTCTGGTTGATCTCTGGGTCCTGGGATGGAGCCCTCCCCCAGACCAGGTCGGGCCCCCTGCTCAGCGGGGAGTCTGCTTCTCCCTCTACCTCTTCCCATCCTGTACGTGCTCACTCTCTCTCTCTCTCTCTCTCTCTCTCTCAAAAATGAATAAATAAAATCTTTTATATATATAAAAAGAGAATCCCACCCTCATGGGACTTACGTTCCAAGAGGGGTGATGGACAATACCCCATGAATTATATATGCTTATAAAAGGTGATCTAGGCTTTTGAGAATGGAAGGCAGGGGGTGGGGAAGGTGAGGTCCGAGGGCAGGCTCACAGTATCCAATTCTTCAGCCAAGTAGTCTCAGACAAAACTCTGGGAGGATGGTGTTGATATGGCCACACCCGTGGCAGCCTTCCACCCCTGCCCTGCCACAGACAACACCCCCCTGCTCATGTCCACACAGCTACAGGTGTAACCCTAGGGCCCCACCCAGTCCCACCCCACCCCCATTCCCAGACACAAGGCAGAGCACCCATCCTGCCAAGCCCCAACCCTCCCCATCCACAGCCTGACAGACCCCTTTGGGATCCATGCAAACTGCACCCACCCGTCAGAGGTACTGAGTTTGTCCCCAGATGGTGTTGGGGGGCAGAGAGCTGCTGGGGGGAAGAGTCCAGGGCTGGGATGACAGCAAATGCCCATCTGGGCCTGCATTTCTTGTCTATCGGTGGGAGGGGGGCGGGTTGGGCCGGGGAGCCGGGCTTCCAGAGCAGGTGTGCTCGTGTCTGTGCGTGTATGGCAGGAGAGGCCCGTGAGGAATCCTCCAGAAGCCTCTGCCCTCACCTCACTCCCTCCTACCTCCAATCCCAGGTGACTCAGCCAGCACTCCCCCAGCCCCCACCCCTGCAAGCCAGCCCCGGGCTCTTGGAGAGAAGGCAGACTCTGAGCCAGCTGGCCTGGCTTTGGATCCAGCTCTGTCACCTGCTAGCTGGATGGCCTTGGGCAAGTACCTTCATCTTTCCTTGCCTTAGTTTTCCATCTATAAAAAGGAGAGAATAGTGCCTTCTCCCTATGGGCTTGTGACTTATTAAAGGACTTGGCCGTGGACTTCTCAGTGCCCGGTACACAGTGAGCCCTCTGTGAGTGCCAAGCGCCTGTGCTCTCTCAGTGGTGGGATCTGTGTTCCTTCTGGCTGGCCCGAGGAGGCTGTGAGCAGGGCGGGCACTTCAGAAGCCCTGTGTGCTCACTCTGGCCCAGCGGCTCCCCTTCCAGGCCCAAACCCTCCCCTCTCCTCCTCTGCCTTCCCCTTCCCTCTTGGCACGACCCAGCCTCCCACTTCACACGGAGAGGAGGAACATCAGGAGGGAACTTCCTGGCCTCCCACCCAGCCGCAAACGGAGCTCCATCTGCACGTCCTCCCGCTGGCTGGGGGAGCAGAGGGCCCTCCTCCCCTCCTCTGATTTGGCTCCTGCCCCTTCTGCTGCCTCAGGATCCTGCTCCCCCGACTCAGCCCCCTTCCCCTCCATTCATGAGCAAACCCTGTTCTACAGAACCTTCCCCCGCCACAGCCACTGCCTTGCCTTTCCGAATTCTTTCGGTCTGAATATATGCCAGGAGTCTGTCGGAAACGCCACACGAATGCCCTCAGAGGGGTGCGTCTGTAGCCTGGCCTAGCTCATTTCCTAGACGCCCCCCCCCAGCAGAGGGAGGGATGGTGCCAGGCCCACAGACGCGGGGTGCTGCTGCCCTGACCTCCACCACCCAACCAGGCTGCGGCACCTGTCACCACGGCTCAATGCAGTCCGAGCTCTAACGGACAGTACTGGGTCCCTCTCACTGCAGCCATCTACTAGGCGAAAGTGGCGGCCTCTGCCCACGATGGTCTTTCCTTGCTTTCAGTGCTGGAAGGGGTCACCCGTCCCAACCTCTGCAGAATGCCCACACGCTCCCCGGGTGGGGAGAATTCTGAGCCAGGGAAGGCAAGCGGTCTGCTTTGATGTGACAAGGAGAGGGATGGCCCTTTCTGGGGAGAGTGCAGGCCTCTCCCTCAGGGGTTCCAAGGAGTCCACACACTCTTGGCCTTGAACTCTTCTCCCTGCCCACTGGGGAGAAACTGCTGGGCTGCTCTGCTGACCTACTTCTCCAGGACGTGGTGTGTGGCCTCCCCGAGGGCTGCTGCGCAGGGCTGGCCTCGGGCGTGCATGCACATGCGCACACACGTGTGCGATGCTCCCACCCCGGGCTGTGGGCCCTGCCCGTCATTTGGGGTTGTTTCTGCATCCTCTGGAAGACTGACTGGTAGCTGCAAGTCGCTAGAAGCTCTTCTTACCTCTCTCCCCACCCCAAGAGAGCGTGGCTCTCTCTGCTGCTGCTTTGGCCTCAGAGCTGTACTGTGTAGGCACCAGTCTGGGTCAGGGGTGGGTTTGGGTCCCACATTTGCCCCCTGCAATGCAGGTCCAGCCTGCCATTTTGACCACCATCCTGCACTGCTGCTCTCTCTCCTCTCCTCTGCCGGTCCTGCTGCCCGCCTTGACCTCCCGCAGATCCATCTGCAATCTTCTGGATCTCTGTCCTCAGGTCCCACTCCTCCAGGAAGCCTTCCCTGCTGCCCCAGGTGCCGATTCCTGCCTTTGCTGAGCCCCAGGATTCACACAGCGTCTGTGTGTCTCTCTCTGAGAGTTCCTGTTGAAATGTTTTGGGGTGATCTCAACGTTGTCCCCTGTCTGTCCCCGTCAACAAGCCAAGAGGTCCCCGGGGGGAAGGGGCTACATCTGACCCAACTTGCCCTCATCCCTTCCCTTAGTTCCTAGAGCCTGGCATTGGGGGTCTTCTCCATTGACCCCTCCCTCCTTCACAACCTCCCTCTCTCTTCAGGCCTGTTCTCTGCAAGGCGTCAGCAGGTGACAGGGAACTAATCCACACAGCCGTCCCTGTCGCTGCGTCATGGCCCAGGTACACACTGCCTCTGACCCAGTTACCACGCATGTGACTTAAGAGGCACAGTGGGGAGCGACAGAAACAGCACAGGCCTCGGGGCTCAGCAGGCTTGCCCTTGATCCTGCCGCGCGCCGCTTTTGAGTGGTGACCTTGAGCAAGTCACTTGTCTGGGCCTGGGGGACCACACCTTTACAACAGGGAGAATCCCAACTATGACAACAGCAGCAGCTAACACTGAAGTAGGGCCCTGCTCTGAGGATGGGCTCATCTTCACCATTTAGTGGGTAGGTGTTCTCATGACCCCTATTTTGGGAGAAGGAGAAGGAGGCAGGGAGCCCCGTATAGCCTGCCCAAGGTCAGAAGGCTCACATGGGGATTGGTTCCAAAGTTGGCCCTCTTAACCACAGTTTTCCCAAGCCAGAATGTTGGGGGAACGTCCCATCTGGATCCCTGGATATCCAAGTGGGGAAACTGAGGCTCAGGAGAGAGCAAAGCCTGAGCCGAAGCTGCCTGTGCATCCACTGAACTCCTGCGGAGAGCCGACTGGGTGTCAGGCACTGTCCAGGCCCTTCTGGTGTTGTATTAACTCACTTAATCCCCACAGCGGGGAGGACAGAGCGACTTCTTTCAGGCAGGGCCTCGAGGCCAGAGAGGAAAGTAAGACATGGCTGCCTGCCGAGTGCTTGAGGGCACGTACAAGCGGGAACTTGATCTAAAACATTTTACCTTCATCCCCCTTGAAGGCGTGGCTGTGGACTTGGGTAACTGTGAACTTTCCAGCAGCAGATGGTGGAAGCCCCTGACCGCTTTCCCTCCCCCTCATCCTGTGTGGTTGACACTATGGTCCATGGTCCCCACTCAAGATGACCTTGTTGTTCCGGGGGACCCCCCCCATGCCTTGCACCTCGAGTGTGTGTCCTCACTGGCCCCGAGGAAGGCCCTCGGTTTCCCCTCTGTTGCTGAAGGCGGGTGGGTGTCACCCGGCCTTCCCCTCAGCACTTGTGGCTGTGGCCCTGTGAGCTGGGTCTTCTGCCACATGCTGGGAGGGCTTCCCAAGCAAGAAGCAAGACCGAACCACCTACCACTTCCTGTTGGCAGGTGGCTTGAGCTGGGTGTCTCTCTTATATGCATAACCACCCAATGCATTGGTACCTCCCTTCCCTAAACACACACACACACACACACACACACACACACACACACACACACACACAGTGCCAGGCTGGCAAAATTTCACTCGCTGAGTCCTTGTAAGTATCCCAAGAAGGCCAAGATGTCTCCCGTTTTTTAAACAAACAGCTTAACCTAGTACACGCCATGAAACGTACCCATAGTAGGCACAATTCAAGGATTTTAGTAAATGTCCATTGCCACGATCAAGTGGTGCTTTCTACTTTATAGATGAAGCACAGAGGCCCAGGAGGTCGGCGATTTACTATGGTTTTGGCAAAGATAGCCAACTGTCCGTCGGAACTTTGTTTCCTCTTTTATAACGCAGAGCTGTTGCAGGAGGGCGGCTGTCAGCAGGGAAGTCTAGTTCCCGCCCACCAGGCAGCCAGGTGTGGCCACGTGACCAGCTTCCCCCTAGAATGGGAGCAGAAATGATGGCAGTCACT